TATCTGTATCACAGCTTACACATCCAGCCGCCCCTTTGCATGGAAATAACTTGCCTTACATAACAGGAAGAGAAGTGTTCTGGGTGAATGTCACATTTTTGGTTGCCATACATTATAGTTTCTTTACAAACACTGCTGTAAGYCCCAGAATTTTCTTTTTTACCTGTATTTTGCTTCTTCTGTTATATTCACTCCRTTCATTATGTGTCAATGAGGATGCTCCAAGGAGAGGACCATGCCTCTTAGTCCAACAGAATGTTTCTCTCATTGTTTAGGTGTGAAATCCCCTTCGATGAAATGCCAGTTTGCAGCTGATTCAGAGCTCCTCTTATTCAATCTGATTTCCAACCATGGGGAGAATTGCAACTTCCAGTTTGACGGCTATTTAAAAGCTGATCCCCCTAACACGCTGCTGCTCTGACAGGCTGCTAGCACTGGCCTTCTCTTAGAGGAAATCATTTTTCTACTGCTTCTCCCTCCCCTTCTCCTGTTATTTTTTTAGTTCCACATTGATTTCTAACATCTGGACAATCTTGAGATGCTTATCTTTTTGCAACTTCACTGTGTTTCTTCTATTTTTAATGTTCCTGTTGGTTGGTCTTTTGTTTTTGTCTTCTTGTGGTTTTTGGTTTTTTCCCCTCTCTTGTGTGTGTTTGTTTATAAAAGGTGTCTTGAGTTGGTTGGGTACAGCGCCGATGCAGTATGTGTGGCTTATTGATAAACTTGAGCAAGTTATTTCCTGCCTTCTTCATTTTTTTCCCCCCTTCTCCTCCCTGCCGCCATCCCTCTACCCTTCCCCCCCGCCCAGTTAGCTTGGCTTCGCTGTTGTACCTCAGATCTTGTGGATCCACCATTCCCAGCCCATGTTGTTGACCTATCTACCACCGCAACCACTCATGTTCAGCCCTGATTACTTTTTTCCAATCTCTATTTTTGATTTCCATTTTACTTTCGATGTTTTCCATTTGCATCAAAGATGACGAGACTGAATCTACAGAAACATCTGTGCTGAAAAGCCACCTGGTTAATGACGTCCCTGTCCTAGCCAGTCCCGACCTGTTATCTGAAGTTTCTGAGATGAAACAGGATTTGATCAAAATGACTGCCATCTTGACCACCGACCCATCTGATAAATCAGGCTCCATTAAGGTGAAAGAGCTTGGGAAAGCCCCCGAGGAAGAGCCAGGAGAACCTTTTGAAATAGTTGAAAGGGTAAAAGAAGATTTAGAGAAAGTAAATGAAATTCTGAGAGGTGGTTCCTATAGCAGAGAACAAGAAGTTTTGCACACATCCTCTTCCAGGCAGGAAGTGGTACAAGAAGATTGGGTCATTGTCAGTGATGAAGACATCGCAGAGGCCAGAAGAAATGTGCCTTTAGAAGTCATCGAACCTCCTTGCGTAGAGGTGCGGATTGAGAAAGGGACAATAGAAATGAAGAAAGATGTGGCTGCGGCGGTAGATTACCTCGCACAGGATTTGAAAACCTATGTGTGTCTTCATGACGTGCAACCGCCAGCCTTACAAGAAGACACAGTCCAAGAGACAGTTGAGGCTGTAGTAATAAGCAGGGATTTTGAAAAAGAAGGGCAAGAATCTCCCCCCACTGAAATTCCAAGTCCACAGGAACAACAGAAACCAGTCTTAGAAATTAAAAAGACAGTCAAGAGGAAAGTAAAAGAAAAGCAAAAGGAAGGCAAGGGGCACAGCCGCGAAGACCTGCCAGCACTAACCAAGGGCGGTTCAGAGGAGTTGCTGAGTAAGGAAGGAGGCTTAGCACCAGCAGCTGCCCCTGAGGCTACTGCTGTATCCCCAGTCATAGAGGAAACGCCCATTGGMTCAATTAAAGATAAAGTTAAAGCCCTTCAGAAAAGAGTGGAAGATGAACAAAAAACACGTTCCAAGCTACCTGTCCGCATTCCAACAAAAGAAGGCGCAGCTGAAAAGACTTCCAGAAGACCTGGACCGGTTAAAAAAACAGTAACGCACAAAGCTCAAGCCCCTGTTTCACCGTCAGCTAAGACAGAAAGACTTGAAGAGACCATGTCAGTTCGCGAACTGATGAAAGCCTTCCAGTCAGGACAAGATCCATCCAAGAACGTCTCAGGACTCTTTGAGCACAAATCTGTCAAACAAAAGCCGCAGCTCTCTGAAAAGGAACCCACACGGAGAAAAACACCTTCTTCACAGAGCGAACCGAAGCGAGCATTAAGCCACAAGACAGACAAACAGAAAGAGAAACCAAGTGGAACACTAAAAGCAGAGAAAGAACCACTATCCAAAAAAGGAAAAACGCAAGTTTCTCCTGTTTGCACTGACAAGCGACCTGTAAGTAAAGAGCGGGTGAAAGAGCAGGGCTGTAAAGCCAAACCCCCCCCTCCGGTATTCGAGGATGAAAGTTGCAAAGACACAGAGCATGTGAAGGGCAAGGTTTCCGAGGAGCAGCCAGATACCGACTTCCAGATCAGTCCTGACCGAAAAACCTCCACAGACTTTTCTGATGTCATTAAAGAAGAGCTCGAAGATAATGACAAATATCAACAGTTCCGACACCTTTCAATCACCGAGGAAGGAGAACTTCACTTAGAGCAAGTGCTGACCAGCCCATTCAATGTTGCTTTCCCAACGGAGTATGCGAAAGACGGATTCCTTCCTGCTCTTTCTCTGCAAAGCACTGCTTTGGAAGGGAGCTCAGAGAGCCTTAAACATGAAGGTGTTGCAGATTCTCCAGGGAGTCTGCTTGATGGAACCCCTCAGATCAGCTCTGAGGAAAGTTATAAGCATGAGGGACTGGCAGAAACTCCAGAAACGAGCCCTGAAAGCCTCTCCTTCTCACCCAAGAAAACTGATGGGCAAATTGAAGAAGCTAAGGAAACAGCTAGAGCACACACAGCAGGAGAAACAAGTTCTCTGAAGGGACTCTCCCCTAAGGAGGATGAAAAAGGTATTACTGAAAAACATCTGTACGCTCTTACCGAGCCTACTAAGTCGCCTTCTGACCATGTATCAGAAGAGCYGGTACCTACAGCCTCTGAAGAAGAGGCTGATAAACATAAAGAAAGTAGCTCAGCTTCCATTGTGAAGGATTTTAGCAGGGATAAGGACTCCAGAACCACTGCACATTTAACTAAGTCTTCAGAAACACTTGACATTGCATTAGAGAAAGAAAAAGATATACCTTGTGAACGTCGTGTGGTTGTTAGAAGTCCCCAAAAATTGGAACTTGCACTTGCTAGCCATGATAGTGAAAGCTTTAGCCCAGTTGCAGATGACTCTTATGCTGTAAGTCATAAAGACTCACTGGAAGCAAGCCCAGTGCTAGAAGATAATTCATCACACAAAACGCCTGATTCTTTGGAGCCCAGTCCAATGAAAGAGTCTCCCTGCCGCGATTCTCTTGAAAGTAGCCCCGTAGAACAAAAAGTAAAAGCTGGTATTTTGGGGCAGGGTCCTCTTCAGGCCGCTCTTAGCAAAGCGGAAACCTGCCCCGAGCTGGCACAGGTTCGTTCCCGGATTCTCCGAGACCCCGAGGGAAGTGCCGATGATGACAGTCTAGAGCAAACGTCCCTCATGGAAAGTTCAGGCAAAAGTCCTCTTTCACCTGAAACGCCTAGTTCTGAAGAAATTAGCTATGAAATCACACCTAAAACAGCAGATTCACAAGCAYTGGCAAACATACCCAAGTCAGCCGTGATCCCTGAAGTCAGTGAAGAAGCAGAGGATGATCCAGAAAGTGGGCCAAAGAAAAGATTCACTCCAGAAGAGGAAATGTTTAAAATGGTCACCAAAATCAAAATGTTTGACCAACTAGAGCAAGAAGCAAAGCAGAAAAGAGATTACAAAAAGGATTGTAAGCAAGATGAATCTTCTTCTGTAGGTGTCGATTCAGAAGCTGCATATGAGGTGGAAGAATCAGAGTCAACAGTTCTAAGCGAGAAAACAATAGCTACGGCAGGGATGTCTGCTGCTGAATCTAGACAAAGCTCTTCTACTTCACCCAGTGAGCCCGAATTGGCTCAGCTAGAAAAAGAAGCCGACTCAGGCCTCTTAATGGAGCCTGTGCTCCAAGTGCAACCTCCTTCACCATCACCATCCAGTATTGATTCCAGATTTAGCCCTGAGGAAGCAGGTTTTCAACCTGTTGATTCAAAACGATGTTCTTTGAGGATAGGTGAGGTTCAGGCAAAACAGGACAAGCCAGTAGAACAATCGGGCACTTGTCATTCCAATGGCTGTATATCAGCAGGCACTGATGAATCAGGATGCGATAGCACAGMTGAGAGAGAAAGAGTTAGTCCCGATACCCCAGTCACACAATCTGAGGGTACTCCAAGTCATTCCATTGACGATAGTTGTCAAAAACAAGTTCATAGTGAGTCTTCACTAACACTACAGCAATCTGATACTCCCGGAAAAGATGTTAACGCCGCTAGATTGTTGAGCCACACAGACATCCCCGATACGTGGCCTGTGTCAGAGGAAGTAGATGATTGTTCTGGTGGACTCAGTCCTGCTGAGTACTCTATGCTACGAGATAGGAAACTGACTCAGGATGACACCATTGACACTTCTGCTTTAGGAAAAGCAGATAGAGGTTTTGAAACATCTCAGAGAGATGCTCTGAAAGAGGAGTCCTTATCAGAGCATTCATCCCTTGCCACAAAGACAGTGGAACATGAAAGTTGTGTAGTAGATGCTGCTCTAAGTAGTGCTTCTCATTTAGTAAGCCCTTATGACAATGTCTCCTCTGAACATTTCCTTATTGCCTCTGACAACCAGATAGGGTGTGACAGAAGTCTGCTCTCCAGGGAAGACTGTCCTCTGGAGGGAGAAAGAGAGCACACCGGTGAAGCCGCSCTCAGCACAGGCACGGGCAGTAAAAGCCATTCTTCAGAGGAAGCATGTATGGCAAGAGAGGCAAACCAAGGAGATGTGTTTCAGAAAGTGTCACTACCGTCCTTAGCATCAGGTTCCACTAGCTTAGACAAATCCTCCCCTGAGGATTTAAGAACCGAAACAGAAAGTTTGATTAGTCAGGTTGTCATCACCAAAACCGATGTGGATTCTGACACGTGGAGCGAAATACGAGAAGATGACGAAGCTTTTGAGGCTCGGGTGAAAGAAGAAGAACAAAAGATATTTGGATTGATGGTAGACAGGCGATCGCAAGGCACAACGCCTGACAGCACACCGGCCAGAACACCCACAGAGGAAGGGACACCCATTAGCGAACAGAATCCTTTTCTTTTCCAGGAAGGAAAGCTCTTCGAAATGACTCGAAGCGGAGCCATTGATATGACCAAAAGGAACTATTCAGATGAAAGCTTTCACTTCTTCCAAATGGGGCAGGAGCCTCAGGAAGAAGTTTCTTTAGCTGAGGAAATCAAAGAAGCAGCAGAGGTGGAATCTAAGAYAGAGACTTTTCCAGATCCATTTTCACCTTCAGAAGTAGAGGACTCTGATATTCTGGAAAAAGRTGCACTGGAGCATTCACCCCTAGCATCCGAGTTCAGTGACAGTTCAGAAGAAATGACTAGTGTAAGCATCAGCATAGGTACCACAAAAGCAGAGCTTAAATCCAGAATTCCAATTAAAATGGGTATTTCAGCCTCTTCAAAATCTCCCAAGAAAGAGACTGCTGCCTCTGAGGCTGAGCCCCTCTCCGGTACGGAGACCGATAACGCCGATAGCAGTCCGGTGCCTTGCCCCACCTCTCCTGAGCAGTCTGTAGTGGAAGGTGAGCTAGATTTTTCCAAAGCCACTAGATTTGTTCGTTCTGAACAGGATGAGGAGTCCCCTGACTCTTCACCAGAGGAAGAGAGAACCGTGATTGAAATCCCTACTGCTCTTATGGAGAGAGTGCCTTCTTGTGAAAGCAAATCCAAAATTCCTGTAAGAACCGCCATGGTATCACAGTCACCGCAACAATCAGAAACTGAGAGCCTAGTCACGGACGACTGCCTAGACGGGCTGCAGTGCGAAGCAAAGGATGACCAAGCAAAACCAAAGTCTAAAATTCCAGTCAAAACAGCTTTCCAAAGAACYGAACAGCAATATGCACACACAGACACATCCATCCACAAACTAGAGTCACCCAAAGCTCTTGATATGGCCAGCAAGCTACCTACAAAACAGGATAACCGGAGTAAATCCGAGTCCGATGCGAGTATTCCCACGGACCCAAAGACCAAGCGTTCAGTAAAAGCTAGGAGTTATGCAGAGGCAGAAGCAGAGACCAGGGAGAGGGAGCGAGAGATGACGCTCGAGCTAGACTCAGAGGAGGCAACAACAGCAAGACCTAAACTATTTTCATCACGRTTGCCGGTTAAAAGCAGGAGCGCTACAGCTTCCCGCAGTGCTTCTAGTCCCACAAAAGAAAGTAAGGAATATTTTTTTGACCTTTACAAAAACTCCATAGAATTCTTCGAAGAAATTAGTGATGAAGCTACTAAGTTAGTGGAAAGACTCACRCAGTCAGAGAGAGAGCAAGAATTAGTCTCAGATGATGAAAGCAGTAGTGCCCTAGAAGTTTCAGTTATTGAACCTATGCCATCCAGTGAGACCCAGCAGTCAGTTCCCGAAGACATCTTTGACACCAGACCTATTTGGGATGAGTCTGTAGAGACTCAGATTGAACGTATCCCTGATGAAAATGTCCATGACCGTGCTGAAGGTATTTGCCAATGACTGAGATTCCCTGTGAGACGCATGTCATGAATTAAATTTTTCTTTATTCGTTTGGTGTGTGTGTGTATGTGCGTGTGCGCGCGTGTGTGAGCGCATATTTGTATATATGTGTAATGTTTGTGTCCTTTTCTTTGTTTTGTGGTTGGTTGTTTTCCCCATACTCCCCCGCAACCCCATGAACTGTTCGTTTTGTGTCTCTGKTTTTCATGTCTGTGAAACAATCTCAAGATTGCAAACCATGGATGCTCATGGGAAGTGTTAGTTTAATAAACAAAAAACACTTCTAAAAATACACATTATTTTATCATTTAACTGATCCTTCAGGCCATGCACATTTTGACCTTTGGTTTTCCCTGTTCCCTAATTATTACTAATACACWATTCTTACCTATTCATTTTTATTAATAGTAAGTATTCGGCATTGCTTGAAACAGGCAAATCAATTTGCTTTTTAGCTTTTACACAAAGAAACTACTTTTTTTTTTTAAACAAACAAACAAACAAACCCCTTCCTTTTTCTGCCATCTACTTCAAGGAAATTCTCTATCATCACCCATGACCTAACCTACTACAAGTTGTTTGGTGTTTTCATTGGTTTTTATCCTGGTTGTATACTGCAACTGAATAGCTACCACAGAAGTCTAGTAACTAATACAAAAAAGAATGCCTAAACCCACTTCTGAGAAGTTGGTTTTGTTTTCCCCCCCCTCCAGGACCGCAGGGAAAAAATCAAAGCTCAAATTCTGCTCTTCTCAAAGTAGCTTTAGCGATGGCGGAACAGTCAGTCTCACTGTTACATGAAGTGAAGACTGGCAAACGACCACCTAGTTTTCCTTGCCTTCATTGACTCTTTCCACTGGTGCCTTACAAAGGCGTTAAAAATAACGTCTGAAATATAAACCATTATATGAAATGGAAACACACTTATGGAGCGTCTAAACAAAACCTTGCCTGCTACAGAAAGAACGCAACGGCAAGAACCATCCAATACAATTTCTTTCAACCCTAGCTTTGACTAAGGAGGCATGGAAAATTATGGCTCTACTTTGTCCAAGTCTTCAGCTTTATCTTACAATGAAGCTCTAGAATAAAATTCATGGCCCAAATGGGCACTTGGATCTTTGTGTAAATGATTACACAAAGGCCTGATTTGCAAAGGGAAAAAGTAGAGTGGATTTTTGAAATAAGTCAGGCAGGATTTTGGTGGTGGTGGTGCCTTTTCTTTTCTTTTCTTTTTTTCCCCTTTCTTCTCTCTCTCTCTCTTTTTTTTTTTTTTTTTAATACTGTTTTTAACCAGAAGAACAATCTACAACCCTCCCCTTTAGGTATCCCAGTATAATAGCTTGTCCACACAAGGTTAACTGTAGTAGTTAGGAAAAGAACCTTTTCCTTTTTCGGGCCTTGTCACCTGTGTAACTGCCTTTTAACTTGTCAAGGCAACATGTGGCTGTTCTCTTTGACCTTTTAGATCAACAGAATGATCAGGAAAGAACAGAGGAAAGACTGGCCCATATTGCTGATCATCTGGGATTCAGCTGGACAGGTACAATGCACGTSATCTACTCTAGAATGAAACAAGAGGGAACATTCCTTGATGCCTTTGCATTGCTTTCAGATGGCTTCATTATCTCAACATGATTTCTGGGAATATTGCAGTAGCTTATAGGAACTAGATTGTCTTCAGGCTACTAAGATGTCTCTAGTCTCTTAAGAAATAKCAGGAGAAGATTCTACACCATCACCAGAAGGAAAAACTACTAGGAGGAGAGCAAGGGAGAGCTGGGAGAGCAAGAGAGAGCAAGAGAGGGAGGTTACCTACCTTTTTTCTTTCCAAACGCAACAGCTCTGTATTGCACGTAGATGAATGCAGGAATTCATGCCAGCTCTGCTCTGAAAACTCTGGTCTGGAAAGCCACAAGAAGGATAGATGCAACTGGCTCCTTTTCTGAGCTCTGTGGTAGGAGAAGGGATTAAGCAGGCCACATTTGCAGTAATTGCATTAATATTGCAGAGTAGCAAATAATGCTATAATATTTGCAAATCAGTTGCAATTTAATTGCAATTTGCAAATTAACTGCAAACAATTGCATTTATTTGCAAATAAGTTGCAAATAATAAGCAAAGTATCCAAGGCTGAGTCGACACTACTGAGAAATACTGTACTACTTTGGCACAAGCCAAAGTGACAGAGAATGATTTTTTTAAATCAAGATACACACATAAAAGCAGTCAAAAAGTGTTTACAAATAAAATGAGCTTTGCAGAAATCTTGACAGTGTATTAAACTGTTCAATCCAACAACAAAAGTAGCCATAAAAATGATCTTCAAGAACAGGAAACAAACTTCACACCTTTTTATATTCAGTACACTATTTCTAGAGTATTTTCCCCATATAAGTAGTACTGGAATATTTTTACATATTCTTATGTATGCCAGTTTACCTATGGATTTTGGGAAGAGTATTCAGTTATTTTAAATCACAGTCCTTATGAGAAGGGAAAAAAAAAATCTTATATTGTAGCCCTTTAGCTAGTAGGATACTCCTGAAAATAAGCAGGAGTAAAGGAGCTGTATACTTGACAATAATGTAAAATTCCCTGTAATGAGAACTAGATTATAGTCTACTAGTTTTATAAGTATCTACAGTGTATATGCAAAATATCACTGACATTTTTATGTTACTTACCCCTTTCTTTTCCCACCTCTAATTCCTTAGGGAGCACTGTAAGCATAAGTCACTCATTCCAGCATAAATTCTTGACAAATCCATAGAACTTGGACCTATATAAATAACAGATAACTAAGATAACTATTAGAGCTGGCCAAAGGCAGGAGCCCCCGCTGGAAGCGTGTGTGTAAATAACAAGGTCTGAAAATCAAACCAGAAGACGTGGATGCTCATAAAAACAGACATTACCCACAGCTTGACTATTAATGTTTCTAGCATTACTAATGTAATAGTAATGTCTAAGGCAATAGCAATGTAATGCTAATGATTCTAGTATGCTAGGGACAGCAGAGTAATAAATAACGGCATAAACATACCSATCCTGCATAAAGATCAGCGTGTCCAATTTCGATTTGGGAGATGAAATTGCAGTTGCTTTCTTTTCAAATTTCCTTTCATTACTTAGGATTCAAATCTAATATTGAGTTACTGTATATTTGTTCAAGTTTATAGCTGTGTTTCTTACAAAACAGCTTAGAGATAAGTCTAGTTAGGGCTTGGGGTTTAGGGTCTTCCTGCTTGTTATAACATGGGCTCCACCAAGATCAAGACCTTGCCTCTGTAAGGAAAAATCAGAAGCATGTCAAGTATGAATTCTTCCTTACGAGAGAAGCAGAAATCTAGAGGCCAGATGTAGCAGATTGAATCTACAAGTTCTCCTTGGCTCTAACTAATCTGATGGCCTGTTTCACCAGCCACGCATACGATGGCAGCAGGAAGCTGATCCTGATTTTGGACAGTAAAGGTATTATAGATCAGTAAAGCCATTTTTTTTTTTTTTTTTTCTGGGAGAATGTCTGAGCTTATGCTGGATCAGAAAGACAAGTTGTCCTTAGTCCACATTTTTTGGTTTTCAATTGCACTTCTTAAACATTCCTTTTAATGAAATTAGTCCATGGGAGTAGTATAATTATTTTTTAATCTAACCCTAAAAAATGCCATTATTTAAATCCAATTATTGCAGTAGATTTTTGAACAATGTTTCTGAAATGACATTTCAGGGGATGGAGTTTGGTCCAATTGGACTGCCAATTGCAGAGTTGGCAGTCTGTAGCTACAAGATTTGCTCATGTATTTTTTTTCTGTTATGGCTTTCTAGCTATCTAATAACTTGTTCCTGCTACATTTTGTCACTTCCAGCTATAACAAAGTGCTCTCAGTAGCATGTTGTTTAACAGGGTGTCCAAATACAACACAAGATACCCATGAGCAAAGAATATTTTGCTTCTAAACAAGCTTCTTCTCTCTTTTGCTGTTGCCAGCCATTGCAGTAGTTGTAAGGAAAACAAAACAAACCCTAACAGAAATGGAACTCTTTTTCAGAGTTAGCAAGAGAGCTGGATTTCACCGAAGAGCAAATTCACCAGATCCGAATTGAAAATCCTAATTCGCTTCAAGACCAGAGCCATGCACTCCTGAAATACTGGCTTGAAAGGGATGGGAAACATGCAACAGGTTTGTTTCCATCATAGCACATCTGCAGTGCCTCCAGCCTGCCAGGGGAGCTGACAGATGTGTGCTGCTGCAGCTGCAAAAAGAAAGCATGGGTAAAATTTAGGTAACAGAATGACAATAGATGCGGTTATGGGTTTTTTTTAAGCTTGTCTGTATAACACGGCATACCACAAAATTCTGTATTCATAGAGCAAGTTGTTTGGTCTTGCTCATTTGAAGGACTTGACAGCAAAATAAGACTGGAAAATCTAAGGCCACATTTTCCTMAATGGAGGTGGTGGTGAGGGGGGCGTTGGGGGAATTAAACCAAGTTTCTAGGGGGAGGGCTGTAAAAAGGATGGCAATTCTTATACGTACTCCTTCATGGAATTTGCAAGTTTACATTTCAATTCTTTTAAATACATATTTTATACATTATATTGCTGAGCATCCAGTGTATTTCCTTGATGTGGAAAACAGAAGGAAGGGAGTATGTGAAATTCTCAGCTCAGATAGATGGTGTCTTTCCCATGCCACAGATACAAGTCTTACCCAGTGTCTTACAAAAATCAACCGAATGGACATCGTTCATCTCATGGAGACCAGCGGCATAGACTCCACGCAGGGCCACGGCGCTCGCACGTACGCGGAAATGGAACAGACGCTAGGGCTGGACCACAGCGAAGGTACAGGCGCCCTGCGCTGCCCGGCGCCTCGCCTCCCGCCACCTGGTTCTGTTGGAAATGTTTGGCAGGGGTAATCAGGGAACTCATGTGGCTGGTTTGAATTCTCAAGCACAAATAAGAAGGATCAATGCAAGCAGGACATTGGGCAGGCCATCATTTCACCCCATATGAGACACCCACATTAGTCATTCTTAAAATGTAAATAAAGGAATGCTTAAAATAATAATAATACTAAAAAAATAAACCATTGCAAATACTTGCACCTAGCCTTTTTTTTTTTCTCTCCCCTTTTCCTCTCTTGCTATACAAATGCTTTCCTAACAGTTAACAAGGTTGCATTGTGACTCAATGAAAGCTTGTAAGATAGTTTCCAAAAACAATTATTTGGAAAAACCTTGCATTCAAATATCTGTGATACCACTTGCAATTCTACTATGATACTGCTGATTTCTTAAGTGTTGAAGTTCAGTAGACTACTACTGTAAGGGTAATTTATAGTAACTCCTAGTTATGTTCAATAGAATCTTTATCCTTTCTTTTACGCCCTTTATTGAACATTAAAGTAGTAATCCAGTAAGATATTAAATAGCAGCAAGCTTCCCATCTGTAAGATGATTTATGAATAGAAAGTCATGTTTTCTATAATTAACTTTCTAATAAAATAAGCGATTAGTTTAAGATAAAGCCTGTAAGACTGTAGAACAGGCTAAGATAACCTGTTCAGATTCAAAACAGTTTCGTGTTTTTACCGAAGTTCTTCTTCCAAGATTAGTATGATCCCAGTGAACACAGCTAGTAAAGAAAAGAGAGGGGGAGAGAGAGAACACAAAATTTTCATTCTAGCATGTTAAACATAAATGGAGAAATAAGAGGAGTTCCTGCATTTTACTAAGACCTGTAACAACACTTTTTATTTCTCCTCTCTTTTTAAAGGGTTTTCTGCATTGCAAGAAGAAGTGTACAGCACAAGGAATAAGAAAGAGCACCACCTACTGTCTAAAGACAGTGACCCATCTGAACACCCTCCCATCGTCTCCGAGGAAGATGTCTCGGTCAGTTATTCCCCTTTTCAGGACAGCACTCCCAGGAGCGAGGCAGAGCTCTCAATGGCCGAGCTCCTGAGACAAGCACATAAGGAACAAGTACAAGCTGAATTCTCAGGGAAACCCCAAAGCGTGTCAGAAAAGCCATCTGCTGCTTCCCAACAGGAATATTGGTGAGTGTCAAAAGACCAGAACGAAAGTCCAGTAGAACAGATTACCCCTCCTCTGTGCAATAAGATGATTTTTTTTCGCTTTTCCCTGAAGCATATGGGCGAGCTTTTAATTTCTCTGATTCTGCATGTTAATTCATTAGCTACTCTGTGCTTAACTTCTTAATCCATAAGGAGGAGGCCTTAAGGATTGCAAGAGTGGGTCTGTTCTTCACTATGAACATAAAGCAATAACCCAATCTAGTATGTATGAAAGAAAAGAAGGATAGACAATATAGGGTTGTTTTTGCAATCTGTATTTTCCACGTATTGCGAGGCAAGTAAGTAATGTTAAACTTAAGGGAATTTACACTGAAGGGTCCTTTTCTCAGCTTCAGGTGCATTTCTGAATTCAGACAATGATTTTCCAAGTTAATGATTTCTCACAAAATTCAAAACTGCGTATTGGCAAAAACTATATTTAAAAAACCAAAATATTAGATGGCAAGGGAAACGGGCATCAATACAGACACGACAAAAGTACTTAAATAAACAGAACATGATAAAATACAGATCTAGAAGGCCTGTACAGGATAGCTTTGAATTCTGATTTGGGGCTGATTTCACTTGAGCTGATACAGTAAACAAGACATCCACATTTCCCTCTTCTCCTCATCCCTCCCCATTGTTCATAATGACAGCTAGAAGCCATATAAATGTGGGTATCTGCGGCTAATGAAATAGCAAAGATTCACTTCCTATGGTTTTCCTGGTATTACTGGAATAACTTCTGTTATTCCAGAGACAAACATTTTTCAGACATTATTGTCAATACTAAGAAAGATAGTAACTTCCCTGTCATTGCTACTAAGTCATATCAAACACAGTTAATTCTAAGTAGTTAAATATATATACACATACCCTAAAAGGAAAAAAGGTTGGATATTAGTATATTAAACCTATACTACAAAGAAATCTTTTCTTACTCTGTAACCACAGCTATTCTGGGGACAGCAGGTGGGGGAGTACAATAGCTTGTCAAAGCCCACCTCATAACATGAAAGCAAACAGGGGAAAAAAAAAGAACACACCCACTTATCCATGCAAGTTATTCTCTACCTGTTAATAATTTTAGTACCAGGAATTTAAGTAAAAGGTACTATTTACCCAGTTATTTTTGAGGATGAGGGGATACCAGYATTTATATGCACCTGAGAATTTTTAGAAACAAAGAGCTGTAAGTGTTTGGAGGATTTCCTTAGGCAGGAAGATGAGTGGGTCCTAGCCAGATTGTTCTGTAGCAACTCAGAGCGTACCAATTATGTGTAGACTTAGCTAAAAGGCATAACACCCTTTATTGGGTGCAGAGATACTTCATTTACAGAAATCAAGAACAGCATCATAGGTACTTTACATGAACTTGTAATTCACAGTGTCACAGCTGCAGGAACAGAGCAGACCACAGCAGCACCCCCTGGAAAGGCAGCAGGAAGTGCAAGCAAAGAATCCAAAGGTGTCAGCGCGGCYGAGCGTGGAGCACCATCGCCAGGGCCCCTGCCGGCTGCTCGGCGAGGTGACTCTCCCATCGTCCAAGAGCCTGACGACCTCCCGCTGCACCAGGATGACCTCTCGCCCAGGAGAACTAGTCTAGTGATAGTGGAGTCAAGTGATGAACAGCCAGAAAAGATTGGAAGTGGTTATGAAGAGGACTCTTTAGAGAAGGTATATGTCTACTTTGCCTCAAAGTAACTGATGCAAAAGAGCAACTGTTCTGTCTCGCTCAGTCTGTAAATGAGACTTATCGGCCTGATAACCATGAAGGTGAAAAGGCTTAGTTGCAGAGTGCTTATTGCAGTTGAATTTCAGGGCTAATATTTGAATGAAGGCTCAAAGATCAAAAGGCTTAGAATGACGGCTCAGAGAACAGAAAAAGATCAAAATCTAAAAAGCAACATTTTTCCAAAGACACTTTTAGACTTAAAACAACTCAGAACCCGTAAGTACTTCTAGTACCACATACAGCCTCAGTAAACACAGCACTGCTTCCCTGCTCCCAATAGGAATTAGCAGAGCAGTTAGGCAAGCTGGACATCAGCTCTGATGAGGAAGACATGGTAACTACCAGGGTCGTTCGGCGCCGGGTGATTATTCAGGTACCAAGTGTGGAACTAGTGCATGTGCCAGTGGTGATCGTGTCCTGGTGGCATCTGCTGAGACAGCTCTTGGCTAACAGTGCACCTGCAGCTGGAATGCTCCAAAATGATGCATGGCCTTCAGATACATTGTTCTAGTTCTTTATGTCGAGAAGATGACTATAGCAGAACTGCTAACCCTGCTCTGTAGGTCATGAGATGCCTCAAGTAGGAGGACAAAAGACTTTTTAGATCTGTATATGATCAACTAATGCATACTTGCCTGTCAGTTCTGACATACCTTTCCTTGCTTTCTATTTYTCTAATACATGCTAATACTTTCCTAGATGTTTATCTATAGAACATTTTTCTTCTCATACTCCTTTTTWACTCTTTAACCAATTAACAAATTTCAAAATTAACTATTCTTATTTAAGAAACAAAACAAAAAAACTACTTACATGAAGTCTCTGCTTAACTGAAGTTTGTTCTTTGTCATACAGGCTGATAGTATGCCTGAAATTCCACCAGAATCAGTCACAGAAGAGCAATATACAGATGAATATGGCCACATAGTGGTAAAGAAGGTATCGTCAGTTACGCTCCCTGCCACCTTCCTACTGCCCTATAAGAGGAAGGATAAATAAATGCACGTACTGCTTGAAGTGCCATCTAGGAGCATGACTTTGCTCATATTAATGAGCTATTGGAGGGCTAGATCCCCCAGAGTCACCTAAATCCTGATCCTCAAAAACAACTACTCAATTGTGACTATACACATTCCTCAGTTTCTGAATTGAGAAATACAGTTCGGGTTTTATGGAACAGAGAATATAGAAATTAGTTACTTCTAAGATGGTCTCATAAAATAAACATATTCAGAGCATGCTGAAGAGACTAAATTCTGTAGACCACAGAGGTGGAGATACCTCTGCCTCTGTGACCGTTGGACATACAAGACGGTCTGATTGTGCATCAGAACAAGTAAGTTATTGGACAAAGGAGGTGGGGTGGGGGAAAGGGAGGTATATTCTTAACGTTCATCTCATCTAAAGCCACAGGGTAGTCCTTGAAGAAAGCAGAGTTAAATCTTACAGAGAATATTCTTATTAAACTAGAAAACTCTATCTTATCTTTACCCTGTAATTCTCTTCTGCCCCACTTGGGCCTCACCACACACCAGGTCAGTCTCTTCAGGRGCTTCGTTCCAACTCAGTGGTCAAGCAGTGACGGAGCCCATCAGCTCCAGCAGCGTCAAGAGCGACGCCAGTCAGTGTCCATGCCCCTTGTCTTGATCACCAAGCTCACAGCCTCGTTTTCAAGTCTTGCAATACAATGATCCTTTTGAAAGTGTCAGTCTTAAGGTCCTCTAGCAATTATGTGATTGTAAAGTATATTTTCTCTCTAAGGTAATAAGCTTCTTTTCCTAATAACTACTATTTTAAAGAGTAGTTCAACTATGTATATGTCTGCATGTGGAGTAAATTACCAGAAATTTTATTGTATAGAGCTTACGTTGGGCTAAGGCATCACTGTGCAACTTGGCTATGGGTGTTTGTGAAACACGTAAAAAGGCTAAAGCACCGAAATACCTATACTACCTAAATACCTATACTATTCCATACACTGCGGTTTGGAAAAATAAATAGAGCTTTTGAAGAAACTGAAACTATATGGAGAATAAGGAAGAGTACTATATTATTCTGTTTTTTCTGTTTGCTTTCCTCTCCAACACACAAAGCTCTATTTCCTTCTTTCAGGTCACAAGAAAGATCATCCGCAGATACGTTTCTGCGGATGGCACCGAAAGAGAAGAAGTCACAGTGCAGGGAACGCCACAACAGTTGCCTGTTCAAGTTGAAGAAGGAGATAGYTATTCCAAAGTTGTAAAACGGGTTGTGCTGAAGAGTGGCAGTGAACAATCTGAGGTGAGATCTTTCACTCCCCTTGTGATGTGCAAAGCATCTGAAAGAACAGAGCTGCCTACTCTGTTTTTCACAAGTTGAAATGCAAAATTTCAAGAAATGTTTGGAAGAGGCATTGCATTGCCGACTGAGGTTATTACAGCCCAAACACTTTAATTGCACACTTAATAAATAGTTCTTATGCCATCAACATTATTATTATTGATTATACTTAAAAAATCCTTGCATATGGAAAGACTTCAGAAAATAAAGGAGTAGAAAAGGGAGAGAGAAGGCTATTTTTTTTCTGTACATGAAAGCCAGAAGACAGATTCAAATTGAATGATTTATGAAAAATATTAAATTCTTAAGTAAGCAGATCATGTAAGATGATGTATGAGTGATAAGGGGTCTGCTAACACACACATTTACGACCTACGCTAGGTTTCTTAGGCAAGATGATTTGATTTTCTCCAGGAGTCTGCAATTAAGTCAATTCTAAAACTACAGTTTTATTACATCTAACCCACTGGCTCTGGTGGGGCAGCAGCCTGTGCTGCAGTGTCCAACAGCCTCGTCTTGCTGACTCCGGGGTTCAGCAGCTCAGCTGGGGCAGCACCAGCGCAGCAAATCAACCAGGGCTGCTCCTGCAACCTGGACCTGCACAAATCTTACAGTGTAGTCCTGGAGCTGTACAGCAGGGAACAAAGAACAGTGAGTGTGCATTGACTGCACACACGTAGGAGGCGAGACCCTTCTTACATTGCTGATCTGCAGGGCAGGGGTGAAGAGAGAACAAAGCTAACCAAAGACTAAGCTTAGTCTGCATCTGCTACGTAATTCATACTCAATTCATACTTCTGTCTTCTGACCCTCCAGGTGACGTTGTCTGAACCTGCCATTTTGTCTAGTGCCTCCAACTTCCAATCTGAACCAGTAGAAGGCCGCAAGGTCAGCAAAGTGATAAAGACCACTGTAGTGCAAGGAGAGAGAATGGAGAAACACCTGGGGGATGCGAGCTTAGCTACTGATCTTCCATCAGCCAAAGAGGACTTTGAAGAGGTAAAAAGGCATTTTAAATACAAGTGCTAAAACATATGTCACAGCAAACTCAGGGACAAGTTGTACTCTACTGAACAGGTTTTGGTGATGGAACATCGCTCGCCTACCAAGTATAAGCCTCATGGCTATATTTAGCCAGGCTATGAAGGCTTAAGGATGTAAAGCAGAGGGAGAATAGGAAGGTGCGTCATTACAGCGCTACCTATGAAACATTTCAAGGTTCTAGAAACATTGAGGGCTTGGACTAAAGCAGATAAACTACTTGCATGGCTACTCTTAGACCAGCCCACTCATGTGCTGCAACACATGCAGCTGACTTTAGAAATTAGAGTACCCGAGTCTGCTCTCTAGACAGGTCCGTGTGTAACAGCAATTGTTCCTTTTGTCCTTGAAAGGGAGAGCTACCAGGTCACCCAGCACCTTTCGTGTTTTAAGGTGTTTGCTGAWGAGCTTAGACATGTCAGTAACAGAAAGTTATATTAATACATATATTTTTCCTATAAGGAACTGAGAGCCCTTTCCTTTTAATCCAACCATTATTCCTTTAAATAATACCAACAATACCTTGCCACCTTGAAGACTCATGTGGAAAAGAACTTCTTGGCAATACACACAACTTTAATACTGTATTTTTGTAATTTGACAACATATATCACCTAAGAGCATAGCTGCAACAATTTCATGGTTCAGGTATGGGCTTTCTACAGTACAGTAGTTGTACTTACTTGCAGCAGAACAGCAGTAGTAAGCTGTTCAATCGAGAGGMTAAATCCCATAAATATAGGCCCTGTAGCCAGATCCCTCTCTCCCGGCAAAACCAGCACAAGCAGCAAAAGCTGGCAGGCGCTGCAGTGGAGATTCAGAAAATGGGACACATCCCACCGAATGCCCTGTTATCCCTCCCCACCCTGGGAAGCGCTACCAACAGCGGCGACATTCCCATGGAACACGCAGGACTCGTTCCTTGCCTCTCCTTCAGGACGGTCACGGCTCAGAATCATCACCCATCTCTCTCTCTAGGTACTGCTAGCACCAGGAGCAGGCAACTGTTCTGAGCTCTCGCTTGCACCCACATCCCAAGGGGAGAGTTGAAACACATACAAAGGAAAGAACACTTTGTGCTACRGGAAAAGGCTTGTCATAAATAGATGTGAACCACAGGCTCTGCAAAGGCGGTGCTCCAGGCCTCATGTAGGGCTGTTTGAAAGTTGAAAGTAGAGCACCAAGACACCCTTCAGTACAGTTCTTAGCAACAATAAGACTGTCCTGCATGAGAAACCGTTATTCATCTATATATTTGATGAAGATTTAAAAGGAGGCAAGTGGCAGCACATACTTCCAAATTATTTGTGTCTTTATGCTTTTCTCAGCATGCCATTTCTTTTAAACACCTCCTCAGTTTTGCATAGATTTACTCAACTTCATTAATATGGAGGACAATTATCTTATGTCCTAGGGTTCTGTTTCTGCTTTATTTAGGCTTTAAGCTATACAGGTAACCAAACAAAAGTCCAACTCCCTGCTTTAATAGAGAAAGAAATCACAAAAGACGACGGATCAGTTATTAAAAGGTTTGGCTTGGCATGTCAATGAGCTGTTACTAGAAAAGGACTAACAAACTCAAACAAGTGGATTTAAGTGAGTGTCTGAAGTGAAGTCACTATCTGGCAGTATTTGAAATTTTATTTGCAAAATACTAAATATTGCTACTAACATTGATGTTCTGCATGTACAAGAAGCACTGGAAAAGTCTACACTCAGTTGGAAAGACTAGCTCAGTAACATATACCATTCCCCAACTGATAAATTTTTAAGGGTCAGTTTTAATTTGTTTTGACTTCATTTGTGTCTATATTTGGGATAAACAGTATCCCACTTTATTGGGAGGGAAGCCTTACAAGCTGCAAATACCTGCTGTTTTCAGAGCTATGCAATGGTGTCAAAAGGGCAAATGAGACCTGCTGACCTTCCTCTACTTTTAGATGAAGCAACAAATATTTGTTTCAAGGCCTTCTGCCTGATAGAGGGAAGTTTTTGTCATATAGGYTGAATTAGCATCAACTACCTGATTAAATAGTTTTGTGCATCTAGCTATTCCTGGCAGAGCAAACAGGAATTTCCAAGTGTGTGGATTCCTAAGAGCCTTCCTTATACGCTCTGACCAAAATTTGGGCTTCTAAATCAGGCTGAGAGACATCTAGCTGTCCAATCTAGCTGTCCAATTTACACACAGAGATCTAGAGAAAGCTAAGGGAGGTTTAAAGTTTTTACTAGCAGGGCAAGAAGTTCTGATGAAGTAGCAGAACTATGAGCAAAATGAATAAAACATTTTAAGATACAATTAAGATACAATTTTAAGATACAATTTTTCTGACAGTCAGAATTAAGACTTGACTCACTCAGACATCTTCAAAAAGACTTTAGATAATACATCTAAAGGAGGTGAAAGCATGGTGAGGAAATCCTAAGTTACTCTTCTACAAGGCAACACAAAGAGAAACAGAGCAAGTAGGAAAGTCTTGTGTGGTTTTTGATATGTCGCCTGTGTGTTACAGCATGTTTTTGTGAAGCACATGAAACTGTGTGCTTATTATATAGGTGCAGATGAATATTAGTTTACCTTATGGAAGCAGCGTGTGCTTTAAAAGGAGTGGTTTTTAAAGGTTTCAGGAGCCATGAATTTTAAAGTTCTCTCATTCTTTTTCTTTAGGACAACACTGAATAAAGCCAGTACCCAGAAGAGGACCGTGATGAAGGACCAGTATGGAAAACACATTCACATAGAAGAGGTGGAAGGCACACCAGAAGCACTACCACAGGATGACCTCCAATATGACCTCCAGCAGCTTCTTAGGCACTTCTGCAAGGAGGACTGGAAACACGAAGCCAAGTGAGAAGCTGCCACCCCTCAACAGCATCACGTCACCTTCCCCCCAGTACGCAGCATTTTCCTTCCCCAGGTGTGACATTGTTACCTACATAATCACCGGAAGACACTGCCATTTCTACCCATGCAGATGCAGCCAATCCATTTTGCCCCTGCCCCCATATATGATTTGGGGGGTTTGTTATTTTTGTACCCTGTAAGCTAATTTGTGACCAAAGATAGCATCCTTCATTTGGGGTGGTTTATCCACCAAATTGTTGTCCTTATGCTGTACTGGAAATTTATCAGCACCACCACTTTTCCTGTTCCTTTGCTTCTGCACTAGCCTCACGAAGCTGCATTTGTCAACCCAACTTCATCAACCGGCCTCTTCAAGTGACTATCTATGTACACGCGTCATTAAAAAAAAGGAGAGAGAAAAAAAAAGGGCAAAAAAAAAAAAAAGAGCAGGGGGATGTTAACATGTAAACTGTATATAGCAAGATTATTTGGACCTAAAGACTGCAGAGAACACACTGCCTACGACTACAGTTAACATAACGGATTACCAGGTCTACCGAAACTGCTGAACACGGATGAGAAAAAAAAAAGTTAAAAAAATTGTTAACATAATCGACTGAATACAGACCACCTGAGGAAGAAGCACTGCAGTTTTCCTGCATCCATAGGACTTCAAATTTAAGGATCTATTATAGTTAAAGGCTCTAAGAGTCAGGTTAAAAAACCTGGAAATTCAGCTGTTTTCATGAATTAACAGCCAACTGTGGCCCACAACTTTTAAGACCTTTGGCCAGCCACCTAAAGATTTCCAGAAAGAGGTTAAAGAAAAAAAAATAAAGATAAATTAAAATAAATTAAGAATACCCAGTTAGGTAACCAACTTGCTAGCAGCTATATCTATGGTACATTTGCATACGGTATTAAAACCTTTTAGATCTGGACATGTGGCAGGGTGTATTAAACAATTATAACTACAGTAGTATCCTGTTTTCATCACTGCTTTAGCAAACCACACTGTCTTACTGATGGTACTTCCTGCTGTCCACTGCACTGTAGATAACTATGGGAGAAAGATCTACCCACTATACAGAGAAATACATTAATTCACCATGTTTTATCAAGATTGCCTCTGACCCGATACATGCATGTGGCATCTGAAAGTCAAAGAACTCAACCCTTCTGTAGCCATGTCAGCTTGTTGGCCCTCTTAGCACTGAGCGAGCAGTTTTTATCTTCCAATCAAGTGTTTTTTAAAGAGAAAGTTCCTCACAATCCTTGATAGCCAGTTTCTGTTCATATTTTGTTATCTTTATATATATATTATATATATATTTCTAAGCCAACCCTCTGAAAACCATAACAGCATGTCTGCACTTTTATTTTAAAAAAGGGAACATAAAGATCTGACACTTTTGGTGTTCTATAATCTAAAATATAGTGGTTGGAGCTCTGCAGCATTTTAGGACAGTATGATGCACACACATACAAACTTTAAGTGTTTTTAATCAGCTTTTTTTTTGTTTTAATAGCTTACACATTAAAAAAATAAATTCTGTCCGTAGGAGTAAGACCTATCTGTCCATAGACTTTATTTGTTTTTGAATGACTCACTCAGTGCTCAGAAAAAGGGCACTTTCTCATTAAAGTTACAATGCCAAAAGAGTGAAAACGTCTTGGGAGTTCTAGCTTCTTGCAGGCAGGACAATACAAAAAGGCATCTCGCTAGCCCACTTTTGGCAGGCAGATAGAAAACAAGTGTTTTGCAGCCAAAATGAATGAGACCCATGATGAAACACTTCACAATACTTCGGGGCTTTCTTACTGTCAAAGACAGCACAGGATGATCTTGAAGAATGGAGCTCTAAAGAAATGCATTTCTGTTGTGTTATTTGCGGTGCAGATGATGTTCTGTGTAACAACATAATGGTTATTCACCTCTTATTTTGATTTTTGCTGTGTTATCAAAGAACTTGAATACTGTGAGAGAAGTGAATTTAAGTTGATGAATCAGCATCTTGTTCCCATGGTGATAACACTAATTGAATATATCTATGAGGGCATGTACTAGTTAAAGATTAAAAAAAGAAAAAAAAAAAAGAAATACAACACTAACAATACATAGCTGCAATGTGTACAATGGCTGATTTAACTAAATAAAATGTACAAGTGTTAAATGTAGCAATCACGGCTCTCTCTCCTTTACTGCCATACAGCATAAATGGAACAACATTTATTTGGGCACCCCACTTGACTGCTGCATTTCCTCAGCATCTTTAAGACCCAAAAAAGAGCAGGGCGGGGGATTAAGGGAAGAATGAGGGGAAACAACAGGTAAACAAGACCCTGACATTGTCCCAGTTTCCAGAAGAAGAATAGGAAACGATTGTAAACACTAAAATCAGCAAGACAAAACACTGAAGTCTTTCTGGGGACATTGAAGTAGGTAACAGAAGAGATAAGAAGACTTTATTTCTTCCACACATCAATTCCAGAGCATGTGTCATTTGTAACTTAGCACTAGCTCTAGCTAGTGCTTTCATCACTGCTTTAGCAAACCACACTGTCTTACTCAGCACTAGCTGAGTTGCAGCTGTGACAGCTACACAGCGCTCATCTCATTCAGGTTGGTTCACTTGGGAGGTGAGGGACACGCGCAGGACAGCAGAAAGGAGGCAGTTTGGAACAGGGCTGTACACAGCTACTTCTGAGCTCAGAGCAACATCAGAGGCATGATATTAAAATGCTTTTAGATCCTAGTCCGACTGGTTTCAAATCTGTTGTGTTGGCATACACATTCTCCAATAGAAACATCATTTTACAGAAATACTTGAGAGCATCATCATTTTTATAATGAAAAATTTTAAGTGTATGGCCTTGCACTTGCCATGGACTGTTCAAGTGGCAACAACTCAAACCCAGTTAGATTTCTCTTCCACTTAAAACTAACAACAACAAAAAAGCTGTAGATGGAAAATACAGCATCCACAACCTACTTAATCCACCAAAGCCAAACAAACAGCAATCCACTTCTTGAGCATTATCAACTATCTAATCAGACTTTAATCAGTTCAGTAAATCATCTCAGAAGACCACAGCTTTATTGCGGTCTTTGTAGCCTTCTGCTTCTATTCACTAGCAGCCCCCRGCAGCAGTGGGCATTGTGCATAATAAGCCCACGGGCACGTCAGTTTTGTCCATCCCTTGTGCCAAACAAAACCACAGCCAGGACACACGACRAGCCGCCTTCCAGGCAGGGCAGTGGTGTCTCACGCTGACTGGGTGTCACTGTTTCAAAAAGCATGAAACTAATTTCATCACCTCAATTTGGAGGTCTTCAAAACCCACCCGMACGCGACCCTGTGCCACCTGCTCTAGGTGCCTTGCACACTTTCTTACAGCTACTTTTCCTTTTCTACGGTATTTCAACTATCACATCACACTTCAGAAGTTCTACAAGCACATTAGCATTGAAAGCAACATTTCAGAAAAGCCCAAATCCAGCAAGTTTGTCAAGTCTTAGAACATCCACCAGTAAGGAAAAAAAAACACTTGYAGGGTTTTTGCTTTAAGTCAGCAAAGAGGCAATCTCCAATCTTGGCCTTTCTTTTTCCGTCCCTTGCATAAGTCTGTTTTGTCTTCCGAGTCTAGCCATACTCTCACTATCCCCCTTCACCCTCCCTCAGCAGCAGCCACAACGCTGGCAGAGTCTCAGCCCTTTCAGTCAGTTCTGCTTCCTGCTTCTATGAGGACAGAGCAGTGAACACCATCCACGAGGCTGCCCAACACACTTGGCAGCAATGAGCTCGACACAGAAAGCGTACAAGGAGAAGTAGTTCACAGTGTCTTTGAATCATTTAGAGATAGTARAAACACTGGTTCATTCTGCTCAAACACTTATGGTGTAATTTGGACCCAGAGTTGCTCTCAAAACTGAACCCTATTCAGCCATAGAAAACAACCCACCACACTGTCAGAGGAAAATGCTGCCCCATCTATTCCATTAAAAGCCACGAGTTGAAAATGTTGTGTGCAACTTGCAAGTGGGGAACTGGATTCAAATCACTGACTCCTTTGCCTATAAAAAGGCATTTCAGGTCCATTCCAATAAGCCAACCTCCTTGGACAGGATTGCACTCTTCCTGACCACTGTTACACCCTCCACTTACCTAGTCCCACTTACTACACCCACCAGTACCCGAGCCCAAACGTTGCTGCTGCTCAGCTCAGGAATGAAGCAGGACACATGTGACTTCTTCAAAGCAGCGCAGCACCAGCCCCAGTGTCCTCTTCATTCACCAGCCATCTATGTTTAACATCAACAACCGACGTTGCCTGCGTTGCCCAGCAGCTCAGAGAAACACCCAACAAGCCACGGTGTCACACAAGGCCGGGCAGCGGGAGCAGAGCAGCAGTCGCCCTGCGCACTGAGGGCCGGGCGCTCGCCCTGCCCGGCGGTCGCACAGCCGCAGCAGGAGCCCACAGAGCAGCCGGGGCCGCGTTGGCTCCCGCGGGGCCCTCGGGCCTGCTCTTCCCCTGTTGCAGAGCGCACCTTGCTGCTGCCCGACGGCCGCCTCAGGAGCGCAGTCAGCCCCGCGGGGCCCGGGGCTGCGCCGCAGCGGCCGCGCGCAGGGATGCTCGACTGGCAGCCGCTAGAGCGCAGCAAGGCATCAGCTTTCAATAGAACCCAATAACACACGTCCCGGAGGTCAAATACTGCAGTACGAGCAAGAAAGTCCTCACTCCCTGATCAAATACATTAAAAAAACTCCTGTGATACCAATGGTAAAAACAGGAAAAAACGGAAAAAATAGATATAAGCAGGAATATTTTGTGAGTATTTACATTTATTTAAGCTGCACTTGTACCCCTTCTTGCTTGCTGGGAGTACTGAAGTAGACATTTATTGTCAGTGCTCCTGAGTAAGCACATCTCACCACAAAACAGTAAAGCAAATTTTATCTTTGCATATATAATTCATGCTGTCATTCACCAGATTCCAAGAATAACAGCCAAGGTACATAAAAATGCTGCATGGCCAGCACTTCCAGACATATTAGAACTATTCAGGGTTTTCCCCCTGCCACTACCACCTTTTAAAAATATATTCTTCTTAATTCATAAAGCACAAAAAAAGCCTCCATTTAATTCCTGTAGACAGGAATATTTTTACTATTATTTACAAGGTAGACAACTAAGCACAGAGGAGATTTTACAGATAGGTGGGAGGTGGACAGCCGTGCCTCCTCAGTCCTGCTCAGTCCGAGCCTGTTGCCTTCAGAGAGCCCCACAAGTCAGGCTAAACCTGATACAGCTGGTGAAACCTTAACTATTTTATTAACACTGGAAAATGGCAGTCTCATTTACTTGCTACCAGCTCTGCTTTCAGATGCCGGCAATATCAAATTCAGAAATTTCAAATTTCTTAAGTATCTGGCAATGGTGGCCAAGCCTGTAAGTGCTAACCAGACCCAGGATAATTTTGGGACCTTTTATTGCTGTGTGCTGGCAGGATAGAACATGAATGTTCCGAGTGCCGATTTCCCTTCCCGTGAGCTTGAGCTGCCTGCGCTCAGSACAGCGGCCTCTCCAGGTGCCAGAGGAAACGGGCTCCTACCTGCATCACCCCTCGCTTTGTCGAGGGGAGAACGCAGGTTTATCCCTCAAAGCACATTTATGGTGGGACATCGTAAACCTGGAAGCTGAAAAGAGCTTTTCAAAGCCTACCACGTTTTTGTAAGCAGGAAAGGAGGCATTCTTTCATTTATCTTTTAAAATAACACTTCTCTCATGCAAGTGCTATAAAACGTGGAGCTCGTACACAGGAAYCCACTCTAAAAACAATTCCTTTCTGACCATTTCACTACTGTTCTCTACCCAGAACCCTTTTAGGCAACTTTCATTCATGACCTGCTTTAAATTACCACAGGTGAAGACACCAGTATAATAGCAACACAGGCACTCAGTGTTCCAGTGTAAAAATGTCATTGCTGGAGCATTACAGCGCACCCTCCCATATGCACACGTGGAAGCCACTAAAAAGATTAAGGTTGTTGAGGTCCGCTGATGCATTCAGGGTACAACATGGATGGCATTCACTTAAAAAGTGATTACTTTATAGCCTTGTTTGCTTAGGAAACTGAGAAGTGAACAGGCATAATCATTTCTTAATCCTACTTTCATGGAGAAGTTTAAAGGTAAGTTCAAGCACAGTAAGAATATTTCTTTTTTGCTGTTTTTTTCCAGTGGCTTTCTGCTATGACAAAGTTCTCCACAAACATGGTTTATTTTGCATTTTATGGGACAATGTGAGGATAAAGTTTCAGTTAAATTTTATGAGACCAACTTGAGATTCTGCAGAGGTGRTATTTCCCAAGGACTACAGACGACTCTCTACATTCAAAACCTTCAATGAGCCTAAGATGCAGTTTGGAAATTTTATGGGTCAGAATTTAAGGACAAAAGGAGATTCCTGTACTAGAAGAGTTCACCTCCTGCATCTAGAGATGCCCATGAGTTCTAACTAGCCAGTCAGTTAATTTAAATACCTTTAATTAGACAAAGCAACCACTTCAATTCCCTCAATGATTATGTTAAAACAATTCAGTTTAGACTACTCACAGAGCAGTTCTGCAAAGGGGCAAGAACTGCATTCCCTGAAGCAAAGCAAAGGGGTATCTCAACCACAAGACTGTTCTTCTCTACACAAAGTCTTTCATCTCTTAACAACCATGTTTTGATTGTTGAAGCAAAGCTCCTGCAAACCACAGTTACATTCACTATCCAGCCTCAATTTCATTGCCCTTGTGAACCTGTATCGTGAAGGAGATAGCTCTCTGCTTCTCCTTGGACTCCTAAGTTGGATGCAAAACTCCCTAAGGACCATCCTTTCCCACCTGTTTCAAACTGAGGTCAGTTAAGTGAGGTCTCACTGGAAGCAGGGGAGCATGTGCTTAAAAAAAAACATATAAGAAACAAAAAACTAGCACTACAAGATCACATCCACTGCTGATTTGAGTCCATACAGGCATCTTATTTGTACACATTATTTGTACACAGACACATGCATTATCAAAGTGKTTTTTTTTTTTTTTTTTTTTTTTTTTTTTAAATGGGAAAGTTGGAAGATCTTGAACCTAGATGCTGAACAAAATCTGCTAAGGCCCACACCCTCCGCTTGCACTCCATTTCCGTATCATTTACCTCCAGGATTGATACAAGCTTTGGTTCAGGTTTTAGTAACTTGTTTTTCACATACATGAAAGCATGTGCATTTTTCTTGAATTCCAGTTAAACATATTTTACTCTCTGACTTCACCAGCATTCTGAGTTATTTTCTAAAATTAAGGCCATATCCTTCTCATAAAGTTTTTGAACAAGTTGAGCAGGATTCACATTACTAGTTTGACTCAGTCCTCTCATCCAGCAGCACTCTAAATTGGTATTTTGGGAATATTTACACAAGCACTTATTTGCTCAGAGAATGAAATCTTTACAATTACACCCAAATTGTGTACATTAGAAGACGTTAGCCAAAGACACTTGGAGATGTTTTTCCTATTAGTGAAGCTCTAAACTGTGGTTCTTCCTTTCTATATTAGTGATAGAATAAGAATGAATGATATTCCATAGAATGATATAATGTTGCTAATAGGGAAAATTGATAGGTGAACATTAAGCAGTTTATATATAATGTGAAATTAATTCAAACACAAATGGGGAGTTTTGTGATCGCATTGATCTAACAGATTACTTTCAGGAGTATGTCAAGGCTTATGCAAGAGCCTAATGACATTGGAAGAGAGATTTTCCACACACTCSTTCCTCATGTATAAAGGAGAGGGTGTTTAACACACGTATAGGAATAATCAGTAGTGAGCAGGGTACTTAACATGATTTCTTGAAGCTGTGTGAACACTTACTCCAATCAACACCTCATAAGAATCACATAACTGTTGAGTATTTATTTTGGTAAAGAGTGGGCAATCCTGGAGAACCCAGATGTTACAGTCCTAGCATATGTTCAGCAGAAAACATTGAAACGGTAATAATAAAGATACTTAAAAATGGCATTTTCATAAAGAAGAAATGTGAATAGTGGCACATTTATCATGAAAGGGAACCTAGCTCTGAGCCCTTGGAAATAAGTCAGTATGTTTAAACAAACTGTTCGCAAACTGGGGCTTGTATATACTTGAAGGCTTTCCAAWGTGAAACACATAATTTAAACAACGCTCTATGCCAGTTGAACATCAAGTGCAGATGTTGGCTAGCACAGGAAGAAGCTTGCCTGGCAAACACATGCTTCATTTTCTCTGTTTAAAGTACACTTTCAAAATGAAGGCCTCTTTACACACAGTATCAGAAATAAAACAATCTAGAAGCAATACATCAGAAAGCACAGTTTAGTTTCTTCTAGTTACTGCATATGATTTAAGATTACTCTCTCTTAAGTAGACACATAACCTTTTTCTACCTGRAGGAGTAGCTAGAGACATATTATCTTATTCAGTACCATATCTTCCTAACAACTTTCCAGAGCACTAGAAACAACTCTCAGCGCTACATCACCTACAGCTGGCAGTTTTCCTCTAAATCACATAGCCTGCAGAAAACATACTATTATTCAGTTGTCAACTACTGTATCTCAGCTGAACACAAATGGATTCTTCAAKCCAGTACTCACAATTTATAAGCAGTTCTCAGAAACATCCATCCATTCATATGAAGCATATCAATTTGCAGTACAAATATTTCCAGTCTGCTTACTGCGATATTTATTTCTCTTCTAGCAACACTAGCTGATTCACTCACTAAGGAACCTAGCTTCATTTATATGTGGAGAGGGCCCTGGGTTAGTTACCCTAACAAGGAATGAAGAACAGCTGCTTTCTTCTCCAGGTGCATGCAATGACCAAATCTTTGGTGCTGGAGCACTAACACGCACTAAGATCTTCCCTTTAAAGCAGCAAAGAAAATTAAAAAAAAAAAAAAAATCCCATCAAATACACCTATGTGTAAAGTTATTGGAGTCAATGAAGCCTTAAAGCATGTCAGAGCACACACTGGGGACAGATTTAATGATAAGAAAGCACTACTGTTATTATTTCTTAAATAGCACTACATTCTTTACTCATATTCTGAGTTATTGCTAATTGGTGCCCGAGGACATATTTACTCCATCATTGTGTTTTGCTTCAACAGCTTCGACAACTCACCTACGACAGAATGTTTGTGGCTCAGTTGCTCAATGTGCACAGTTGCAAGTGCAGTGCCATGGAATTGCCAGCAGAAAGCTATTGAACTTTTATTATTTTCTGTTAATCCCAGTAATCTTAAACACGTCATCCCACTATTTAGTGCACAATGTCTGTTAGGGCTTCAGGCAAGTGACCTGGCCCTTGGCTAAGCCCAGGCTGAAGTTAAACCAGCTGAGAAATATGTGAAAAATTACAGGACATAAGAAATTTCAGGATAAGACAGACAAGAGTGAGACACTGACAAGAGTTACACAGAGCAGCACGAGGGAGATGTGCATCTCTCAAGGGGTTGAGGGCTAGCTAGAAAAGAAATGGCCAAACCTCACAAGCAACTGAGGGTCTCTTGAAGAATAAACTTGTGAGGGCAGCATATGTAACCATACCAGTAGCACTCTCCAAGGCTGAATTTATCTAGTAGCAGGTAATGGAATCAGAAATCCGCTGTTTGGGTATGGATCTAGTAAAACCGGGATGTTTAGCAAAGCAAACATACATTGTTTACTTTGGATGGGACCAGTACAAAAAAAAAAAAAAAAAAAAAAGGTACAAAGATGGGAACAAGAAGGTCAAGAAATGGGAGAGGGGAGAACCAGCTGTGAATCGCATGGCGGGGCTGGTCTAGGGGTATCTTCTCGACCGCCCCGCCCCTGATTCTCACAGATGGAGCTGGACAGTAAAACAAACCCGTTGTTCTGAGACTACTGTACGAGTCAAACGTGCCTCTGCAGTCAGCAGGACCGGGGAGGTGGGTGAGGCAGGTGCTCTCTCTGGCCAGCAAGGGAACACTGGACAGATGGATCGCGCTRTCACTTACTGGCACCCATTCCCAGCCAGATGGCACTGGTAGGTACCCACCCCTACCTAACACTCTCACCCACCATCACATTGCAGTKTTGGGTATTGGTGCTGGCCGCAGTCAGCAGGATTCAGTTTACTTCCCACCAGAACAGTGTTTAGCACAGCTGCATATGGTATAACCTGTGGRAAAAAAAAGTTCTTTTTTTCCCCTTCTTTTTCTTTAGCTCATAAATAGCTAAGCACATTGMAATAAAGACKTTATAGGGGATATATTCTATGTTGTGCTTTCTGGCATTGTAAAGTGTAATGTTCTATTTAAAACAAATTTTGTTAATTCAGGAGGCCACAGGAGACTTTTTCCTCTGTGCAACACAGATCTCTTTACACTATTAATGCACAGTGATCCTGCTGCTCTGTTTGCGARTGAGTGGCTGAGCTGCAAGAAGCTGGGCATGGCCTTCTCAGGTGCTTGACAGTTTCCTAAAACCATTTGCGATTATCCAGGAGGCTTTGAGTGCCTCCTTAGCTGCAGACCAATGGCTATATTTAATAGTGCTTTTAATGATAGCCACTGGCAGGTAGGCATGATTTCCTTTGCTCCCATCTTGCCAAAAGCCAGACACTCCAGAAATATGAGTCTAAACAAATGAGCCATTAGTGCCAACTGAATATTTCCAATTGAGTTATATCTTTTMTTTATTACATTACATTGCTGCCTAGAGGTATSTAGTTCTGCTCTTAATTTCTCTGGYGTGCTTGTTTTACTCCCTAAGTCTCACAGCAGAACAGCATATTCAGTTTTAGTGCATTTACACAAAACATGCTCCCCCAAAGTAGATTTTGAAAATCTCTGTGCCTTTTCTCTGAGGTCTGTACAATAGGGAGCCTCAAATACACACTTTAGAGTGCTGGCAGTTATGGGCCTGTCTGGCAACTCAAAGATATTAGAAAACCGGTAACATTTTCTGTCTATCAAGTCATCTGAATACTGAGTAATTTCCAGGTTCTCTGGCTAGTCTCCTGGATAGATGGCATTTCAGTGCTGAAGACAGAGTCCTACGTAGTGACAACACTTAAAAATAAATACGTTACACAGAAAGCAAAATGACTGATTCTGTGGGATGCAGGAATACTTACAAATAAGATAGAGGCTCGTAATACTGACATGCGATTTAAGACCTACTTTGATAGCTACAAGATTTCCAAGCTCCTTGCAGAGTTTAAAGCCCTTAGCCAAAGTCTGCCAACATCTTCAGTACCATTTTGTTATGAAATCCAAATTAATATTCAACATTCATATTTTTGTTGAGTAAAAACAACAGAATACAGCTCACAGTTTACAGCAAGGAACATATCTGAGTAGAATCCAGAGAAGTCTGTCTACTTTCCTCTCCTTTTTACTGTACTAAGACTTACATCCTTCATTCACAGCACTTTTCTAATGTTTCAGTCCCTCAGTAAGCATACATAAAATATATTTGCTCCAGTCTCTAATAGGGCCTCARCTTTCATATCCATCCACCTTTAGGCTGCCGTTTGCCAGTATACAATGTACTCATATATATACCTTGAAGCATTAGTATAGCAATTTATACATAAAAAAAATTCTTTGCTGAAACTGCTGAAATGTCAATCAGAATGTACTAGCAGACTAAACATTAACAATCAAAATTCCTTTAGGCAGTTTTGGATGGGCTGTAAAACTGTTCTGCTCCCTCCCTTTATAAGAGGATAATTTTTGCCCCTAGTTATCACTTAGGTATAAAGCAAGATAATTGGAAGAAGATCATTGAAATGAATCACTTGAACACACCTTAAATTTAACCCAAGGAATTTATGTATTTTTTAAAATCTATCCTTACGGGTATATGATCATTCGGTCTTTCACAGCCTCCTGAAATAGGAATAGAAACTATCAGAAACCTGAGAGATTTTTTTAGCAGTCAGCTCATGTTTTTAGGACATCCAAGCGGGAAAAAGGATACGACTTTCAAGCAACTTAAGAGTACAAGTCCTGCACCTTCTTAAAATTGCCTCTAGGTTCACTAGACAATTCTTAAAATCATCACCTTTATCAAAATGCAAGTGATTTCTTTATCCTTTACAATGCCTGAGTAGGTTGTAGCATTTGAAATCTATTTGTATGCATCTCAGATAATTTAACTGAAGGCATACAAGCTGTGCGCTATGTCCATTCTACAGATGTTAAGGAAAGCATGAAGGATGGAAGTGTTTTTAAGAATACTGCAATTACCTGGTTTTCTTTGTCTTGCTTCTTTACATAAGGGTGTTTTCAGTGCGTGCATGTGTGTGTGGGGGGAGGCTGACAACRAGGATAATGCTCCACTGCAGCTGCTCCCTGAATTTTTTCTATTTTTGCATGTATTTCAGAAGAAATCAAGGAGGGTCCTAAAGTGGGAAGCTTAAGCAATTCCACTTAAATTACTCAAAGGCTTAAAAACATCACTCCTACCAAGACATGTAACAGACAGCCTTTTCCCCTGGTTCAAATTTTATGAACATGTGTTTTAGCACTATATTTCAACCAGGCCACTGTAAAACTGAAACTTCTAATGACCTCTCCCTCAATCATCACCATCTCAAACCTCCTCTGTTTGTCTAATTGCCTCAAAAAGAGGCTCTGGCATCTAAAAATCAAGCAAGGTCTTTTTGCTTCTGTAGGTCAGTGTCAGCGACTAAAAGAAAAAGGTTAAATAATTTAATTTGGGGGGGGGAGGGTTCTAGGGATAATTTTTGGTTTTGCTTTTTGAATTTTAAGACTGTATAAAGAGAAAATATTGCTAATACTTATTAGCTTCAAACAGAGAGATGGAGGAAGTTGGGTTAGCTAATAAAATTAACTCATCATACCTTCAAAGCTCACAGGGCACATGTTCTGTAGCGAATAGCAGTATTTTGCAGCCACATTTCATTCAAACACTGCTCTCAGGATGAGCCTGCACGATGTGTTTCTCTCAGATTTGAGAACTGCTGCACAATTATAAGAGCTAGGACAGATGTGAACTTTACAAAGTAGAGGGAATTTAGCTAACACACTACTGCCTTTCCAGCAACTTACTAGGGCTACTGCCTTTCCTCTCGATTTGGAAAGGTGAAAGGTTTCTGTTACAAGGACGAGGAAGGCACACGAGCGCTACAAACCATGACACACTGTGCAATGCAGTGAGGAAGCCTATCCTTCAAACTGTGCTTATAATCCTACCTATAAATCCTTCACGTGGAGACTGTAATAACTGTGGCATTTAAGGGATGAAACATACCCCTGCACCTAGAAACCCTTAGCCCCTAGTATCCTTCTCTGTAGCCTTGAGCAAACTGTGTAATCTGTCTTGGTTTTTATAGCCATAAAACTGTGTAGCTGATGCCCGCACTATGCCGACATGGCACTGTTTAATTAGATAATGCTTTTAGAAGCTTCCCACTGAAATCCCAGAGCACCAGCAGCACTAAACCTGGTTGGACTGTATACTGTTCCAGTTATTGGCTGTGCCTGGGGAACTGGCCTTACGTTATGGACACAGAAGTTAAGCTATCTGGGGAAGAACGGAGGAAGGAGAGTTTCCTCTACTTTAAGGAAAAAGAAACAATTCATTTCCAGGAGTGGTACCGATCATCACCATATTTTTAACACAATAAATATTATGTAGTAACAATTTTAGGGCTCTTTCTGGGGGAGGATGAGTTTATTTGGGAAAGATC